GTAATTTAGCAGTCTGTCTATTACATCTTAACATATAATTAATATATTTGCAAAAGCATATTTTTGTACGCCTTACTGTTTTAAATCAGCGTTTTCAACATTTTGCTTCTTCCTCAATCATTCTTTTGTTCATTAATTGCTCTTTGTTCTTACTTCTTACTGTATTTCTTCTTCATAATCAGTGCGAGGTACGTGTTACACTGCTGCAGGCACATCCTCCTTTTTCTCATCTTCTTCTACCTCATTCTGGTTTATCTTGTAGTCTAAGTTACTCAGTAACAATTCATAACTTTGTTTTCACAAAAACTTATCTAACAGAGATTTACCTAACTGAGATCTTTTTACACCCAGGTGTGCCAGAAATCCGGGGAGATCTCCCTGCTGAAGCAGCAGCTGAAGGAGGCTCAGACCGAGCTCACCAGCAAAACCACGGAGATCCTGAGCCTGAAAGCTCAGCTCAAGGAGGTGCGGCTCAAGATGGAAGGGCTGGAGATGAAGACCCAGGAGCTGGAGGCGTCGCTGCGCACCAAGGCCATGGAGCTGGAGGTGTGCGAGAACGAGCTGCAGCGCAAGAAGAACGAGTCGGAGCTGCTGCGGGAGAAGGTGAACCTGCTGGAGCAGGAGATCGYGGAGCTCCGCGAGAGGGTCAGCGAGGGGCCGGGGCTGGGTGGGGACGATGCCCAAGCGCTGCAGGGGCAGCTGGAGMGGCTGCGGGCGGAGCTCAAAGCCGAGCGCGACAACAACGAGCAGATGAGCAGCGGATTCCAGCASGAGCGGCAGACGTGGCGCGAGGAGAAGGAGAAGGTGATCCACTACCAGAAGCAGCTGCAGCAGAGCTACCTGCACATGTACAAGAGGAACCAGAGCCTGGAGAAGATGCTGCAGCAGCTGGCGGCCGGGGAGGACGGCAAGGAGCCCATCGAGCTGGACATCCCCGGCACCGACGTCCCCTACGAGGACATCATCGCCACTGAGATCTGAGCTGGCCCCTCGTTGTGTCCCCCAGGGAGGGGTTCGGTCCCTGTGCTGCCCAGCTGAGCCGTGTCCCCCTGTCCCCTCCTCCACTGTCCCCTCCTGGTGACCCAAGGAGGAGCTCAGTCCCCGTGTGGCCCAGCTGAGCCGTGTCCCCTCTGCCACTGTCCCCTCCTCGCGTCCCCAGGAGGAGCTCAGCAGCTGAGCTGTGTCCCCCCTGTCCCCTCCTCCACTGTCCTCTCCTGGTGGCCCAGCTCAGCCATGTCCCCCTCTCCACTCCTAGTGGCCCAAGGAGGAGCTCAGCCCCCTGCGTGGCCCAGCTGAGCTGTGTCCCCCTGTCCCCTCTGCCACTGTCCCCTCCTCACGGCCCAGGGACGAGCTGTGTCCCCCCTGTCCCCTCCTCATGGCCCAGTTGAGCCATGTCCCCCCTGTCCCCTCTGCCACTGTCCCCTCTTGGTGGCCCAGCTCAGCCATGTCCTCCTGTCCACTCCTGGTGGCCCAAGGAGGAGCTCGGTCCCCATGTGGCCCGGCTGAGCCGTGTGCCCCCTGTCCCCTCCTGGTGGCCCAGCTGAGCCCTGTCCCCACTGTCCCCTCTGCCACTGTCCCCTCCTCACGGCCCAGGGAGGAGCTTGGCCCCCTGAGTGGTGCAGCTGAGCTATGTCACCCCTGTCCCCTCTGCCACTGTCCCCTCTTGGTGGCCCAGCTCAGCCATGTCCCCCTGTCCCCTGCTGGTGGCCCAAGGAGGAGCTCCGTCCCCGTGTGGCCCAGCTGAGCCGTGTCCCCTCTGTGCCCTCCTCATGTCCCCAGGAGGAGCTCAGCCCCCTGCACAGCCCAGCTCAGCCATGTCCCCCCTGTCCCCTCCTCCACTGTCCCCTCCTGGTGACCCAGCTGAGCCGTGTCCCCCTGTCCTCTCCTCCACTGTCCCCTCCTCGTGTCCCCAGGAGGAGCTCAGCCCCCTGCACAGCCCAGCTCAGCCGTGTCCCCCCTGTCCCCTCCTCCACTGTCCCCTCCCGGTGGCCCAAAGAGGAGCTCGGTCCCTGTGTGGCCCAGCTGAGCCGTGTCCCCCTGTCCCCTCTGCCACTGTCCCCTTCTCACGGCCCAGGGACGAGCTGTGTCCCCCCTGTCCCCTCCTCATGGCCCAGTTGAGCCATGTCCCCCCTGTCCCCTCCTCCACTGTCCCCTCCCGGTGGCCCAGCTGAGCCATGTCCCCCCTGTCCCCTCCCGGTGGCCCAGCTCAGCCGTGTCCCCCCCATCCCTCTGTCACCCGTTGTGTCCCAGAGGTGACAAAGCCACTCGTGCCATGCTGACGTGCCCGCAGCTCCCCCGCCCCGGCGCTGCCCCCTCTGCCCCCGAGGAGCCCCTGGAGGGGCGGGCAGGGACCAGAACTCCTGGGGATCAGGGAATTCTCTGCCATCTGTGCCCAGTGCCATGGGGTGCTCTGCTCTGGGGGTGGCACCACTCCGGGGGTGGCAGTGGCACAGCACAGTCCTGCCCTGGGACAGGAATCGGCCCCAGGGTCCCCGTTTCTCTGGAGGAAGCTCCCCCTCCTCACCCTCCCTGCGCCGGTGCCGATCCCAGGGTGCTGTGGGAGCCCAGAGCCACCTCCTGCCACTGCCACATCCCCCTGTGCCACCCTGAGAGGGTCTCAGGGAGGACCCCACCTGTACCTGCCCTGCTGGGCACAGCCCACGCCCCTGAAATCACCCCGAAATCATCCTGAAAATCACCCTGAGATCAACCCGAGATCATCCTGAAATCACCCTGAAATCAGCCTGAAATCATCCTGAAAATCACCCCGAAATCACTTCGAAATCACCCGAAAATCACTCCAAAATCACACTGAAATCATCCTGAAATCACCCTGAAATCATCCTGAAATCACCCCAAAATTATCCCAAAATCACCCGAATTCCCCTTCACTCCAGCACAGCCCCCTGCACTGCACTCACAGCTCTCCCTGCTCCCACGAGCGAGAGCTCCATCCCTTTTCCTGGCTCCTCCATCCCTTTTCCCGACTGCTCCATCCCTTTTCCTGCTGCTCCATCCCTTTTCCCAATTTCTCCATCCCTTTTCCCAATTTCTCCATCCCTTTTCCCAGCTCCTCCGTCCCTTTTCCTGGCTGCTCCATCCCTTTTCCCGGCTGCCAGGCAGCAAGAAAATTTCTGGGTCCAAAAATTCACAGAAATGTCCCAGGCACATTCCGGCCAAGGATTGGGGTTGGTGTTGACCCCACAGCCCCTCACTGGGACCATCCCTGCTTGGGGTGATCTCCTGCCTTATCTCCTGCAGAAAGCCGGGTAAAAAACCCCAAACCCACCACACACACCTTAATTTCTACCCCAGCTCTTAAAATTTTCCTCCTGCCACCATCGTGGATGGTGAGGTGACACTGCTGGTGGCCCTCGTGTCCCCTCTGATGGGGGAGGGAACATTTAGGGCAATTTATGGGGTGGGGGTTCCAGCCGGGACCCCTCTGTGCCAGTGCAATGATATTTTTGCTGCAATTTTCCATTCCGGGGCTCTGGGGAGGGGTCTGGCACAATCCCAACGCCGCCGATTCAGCCGAGGGCTCCGAGCTGTGCCAAATCCCAGCCTGGAAAGGTGACACACAGAAACCAGTCTGTGCCTTCTGCGCCCGGCCCCGAGCACCCCGAACCACTGCCCCACTTCTGCCAGASGGGTTGGCACTTTCCAGCCGATTTTAGCCTTTTCCAGCCAGTCCTGGCCAATCCTGGCCCTTCCAAGCCAGTGCTGGCCCTTTCCCAGCTGGTCCTAGAGCCCTTCCCAGCTGGTCCTGGCCATTCCCAGCCAGTCTTGGCCTTTCCCAGCCAGTCCTGGCCCTTTCCCAGCTGATTTTAGCCTTTTCCAACCAGTCCTGGCCGATCCTGGCCTTTCCCAGCCAGTCCTGGATGTCCCCAGCCGATTTTAGCCTTTTCCAGCCAGTCCTGGCCGATCCTGGCCTTTCCCAGTCAGTCCTGGCCTTTCTCAGCCAGTCCTAGCCCTTCCCAGCCAGTCCTGGCCTTTTCCTAACCAGTCCTGGCCATTCCCAGCTGGTCCTGGCTGTTTCCAGCCGGTCTTAGCCCTTTCCCAGCCAGTTCTGGTCTTTCCAAGCCGGTCCTGGCACTTCCTGACCCTTCTCAGCTAGTCCTGGCCTTTCCCAGCTGGTCCTGGCCTTTTCCCAACCAGTCCTGGCCCTTCCCAGCCGGTCCTGGCACTTCCTGGCCCTTTCCCAGCTGATCCTGGCTCCTTCCAGCCAATTCTGGGCCTTCCCAMCCAGTCCTGACCTTTCCCAAGCAGTCCTGGCCATTCCAAGCCAGTCCTAGCCCTTCCCAGCTCGTTCTGGCCCTTCCCAGCTGATCCTGGCCCTTCCCGGCCCTTCCCAGCCRATTTTAGCCTTTTCCRATCAGTCCTGRCTTTTCCCAGCCAGTCCTGGCCCTTTCCCAACTAGTCCTGGCTTTTCCCAGCCAGTCCTGGCCTTTCCAGCCGGTCCTGGCTCTTTCCAGCCAATTCTGGACCTTTCCAACCAGTCCTGGCCTTTCCCAACTGATCCTGGCCTTTCCCAGGCAGTCCTGGCCTTTTCCCAGCCGATTTTAGCCTTTTCCAACCAGTCCTGGCCTTTTCCCAGCTGCTCCTGGCCCTTTCCCAGCCTGTTCTGGCCATTCCCAGCCAGTCCTGGCCTTTTCCCAGCTGATTTTAGCCTTTTCCGATCGGTCCTGGGCCTTTCTCAGCCGATCCTCGCCCGTGTCCCGCCGTACAAAGCCACCCTCTGATTTTTGTGGCTGCCACCCGGGGCCACCTCGGGCCGAGCYTTCACCCAGAGCTGCCAAAGAACGTTCTGGAAAACAAAAAGCTCGGGGCTGGCGATGCCGGGAGGGATTTTGTGCATCCCCCAGGGCACAGCTATGGGAGCAGAGCCCTTCCCCACGCCCCACCCGGCATTTCCCCGCTCCCGCTGGCCTCGGTGGCACTGTCCCCATCCCTGTCCCCGTGTCCCCTCGGCCCCGTGTCCCCCCCAGCTCGCTGGTGTGATCTCCAGAGGCCTCGCCGTGCTGCCTTTGCACAACTGCGCTGTGTGTGCCCGTCCGCATTCCAGGTGTGTCACTCCAGTGTCACATCCCGGCCCCAGCCTGGACAGAGAATTATTTTTCTGCAGTTTTTTTTTTTATTATTTTTTTTTGTCGTTGTTTGGATGTTCTTTCTGGTGACTGATGTAAACTACTGGTAATTTTATGGTTTTATTTATAAATAAAAAAAATTTTTTAAAACTTCCCCAGCCTCTCCCGGCCAGCTTGGCTGACGCTCCCAGGGTTTGGCGTGTCCCTGTTTGTCACAGCCCTCTGGGGACATCCCTCCACCTGGCCCTGCTGTCTGCAGCGTTATCTCCGCTCTGCAGCTGGGATAACCCGGGAAAAGCAGGGATTGGGCTCTGGGGGATCGGGATAATCCGTCTGGCCCCCGGCAGGCGAGCCTGATTTCCACCCCGACCCCCCTTTCATCCCTGAGGGGATCCAGGAAAAACAATTCCCGAGGGAGGGATGGAGCTGTGACAAACCCAAGGTCGTGTTTTGGCTGTTTGTGCTGTTTTGCTCCAAACGGAATCAACTGTCGTGGGGAGAGGCAGAGGGGGAGGYTGGGGAACAGAAAATGGGGGAAACATTCCCATTATAGGGAACACGGCTCCTGTGAAGGGATCTGGGTACCCCAAAAAGGCACCGGGCACTTTTGGGGCTTTGCAGGGACACCTTGGCTGTGCTCCCGCTGCCCCAGGAGCGAGGGAATTTTATTTTTAGATCCTTCAAAGCTGCTGGGGAGGAAAGGGACAGAAAATCCTGCTCGGGATGGCTCCTGTGACAGTGACCCCAGCGCAGATGGGGGTCCCGGGGACAGTGACCCCGGCCCGGATTGTGGGAGCGATCAGAGTGTGAAAATCAACCCCGAACCGAGCAAATCTGATCGCATCTCCTGGAACCGGGGTCTGGCTGGTGCGGGGACAGAGCCAGMCCCAAAACTCGGGGATGGGGAATGAAGCAGAGCCGGGCGGGCTCGGAGGAAAAAAAAAAGCGCTTTTGATGTGCAAATGAGCGGCGGCAGCTCCGGCTCTGCCTCGCATCTGCCAGCCCGGCACCGAGGGACACAGAACCGCCCGTGCCGGCCCCAGCCCGGGGACAGCTGGCGTGTGCCACCGGCTGCCATCCCTCGGCGAGCGGCTCAGCCCCCGGGCGCTGCTCGTTACTCATTAGGGGATGAAAAAAAACGGAATAAAACAGCTCAGGCTGGAAACGCCCGGCGGCGGCGGCAGCTGGGGGAGCGGAACGGCCCATTGAGCCGGGACCTGCTGTCCCCGCTGTCCCCACCCCGGGYTTGGCACCAGGAGCTGGCACAGCGGTGCCAGGGGACAGGGACGGCCCCAAAGCCGGCCCTGAGCGCGCTTTGTTCATCCCACAGCAGTGAAAAACGCCGGGGTAATCCCTGAGCTGAGCCCAGCCTGGCCTGGAGCTGCTGGAGGGGGAAACACCAAAGCTGGGCTTGGCATTCCTGGGGTTGGGATCCCTGGGTTTGGCATTCCTGGGCTTGGCATTCCTGGGTTTGGGATCCTTGGGTTTGGGATTCCTGGGTTGGCATTCCTGGGGTTGGCATTCCTGGGTTTGGCATTCCGGGGTTTGGGATTCCTGGGTTTGGGATCCCTGGGTTGGCATTCCTGGGTTTGGGAGCCCCAGGTTTGGGATTACTGGGTTTGGCATTCCCAGGTTTGACATCTCTGGGTTTGACATCTCTGGGTTTGACATCTCTGGGTTTGGCATTCCTGGTTTGGCACCCCCGGGTTTAGCAATCCTGTCCCCTGTGCCAGGCTCAAGCTGTTCCTACCAGGGCCAGGCTCTGTCCTAACCCGGGATCCCGCCCAAGGGAGGGAATGGGGCTGGCTGCACCCACTGACTGAACCCCAAACATCCAAAATCCGAAGCAAACCCAGCCCAAAGCTCATTTTGAAGGAGTTGAAGGTTTTCAAGCACAAACCCGTAAGAGGGAGGTGGGGACAGAGCTCTCACATTCCCTGCACATTCCTGCAAAGCCTTTCCCCGTGACTGCACTGAGGACTGAGGTTGAAGGGCAGAGCCTCCTCCTCCTCCTCTTCCATCCTCCTCCATCCTCCTCCTCCTCCATCCTCCTCCATCATCCTCCTCATCCTCCTCCATTCTCCTCCTCCATCATCCTCCTCCATCATCCTCCTCATCCTCCTCCTCCTCCTCCTCCATCCTCCTCCTCCGTCCTCCATCCTCCTCCTCCTCCATCCTCCTCCTCCTCTTCCATCCTCCTCCTCCTCCATCCTCCTCCTCCTCCATCCTCCTCCTCCTCCTCCTCCATCCTCCTCCACCATCCTCCATCCTCCTCCTCCATCCTCCATCTTCCTCCTCCTCCTCCATCTTCCTCCTCCTCCTCCATCTTCCTCCTCCTCCTCCATCCTCCTCCATCCTCCATCCTCCTCCACCATCCTCATCCTCCTCCTCCCTCAGCCACCAGCTCCAGGGACAATTGGGGGTGGCTCCAGGGACCAACCCCCCAAAGTGATTTTCAACCCCAAATTCACCAAAGCTCCCATTTGTTGAACACCTTCCATATTTAATTTAATATTTAGAGATTCTCTACATTAAAGTATTTTCATGCCAACGCTTCCGCCCTCCCATCCCAACCTCAGGAAGAAGAAACTCGACACAGCTTCGGGTGGAATGCACTGGAATAAAATCGTTGCTGCTGCAGCCACAGAGAAAAAACACRGAACAAACCAGAGAACTGCACATGGAGACGTCAGGGGGAGCTGGAATTAGCACATTGCAGTCGTGGTAGCACCTTCCCAGACGGCTGTGGGGAGGTGAGACAGGCTCTGCTGAGCCAAAGCTCAGCTCAGACTGCAGGAAAAGCCTGGGAAAAGCAGGGAATTGTGCCAGCAGCAGCGGGCCCGGAGCCTGGGCTGAACCCGTTGGAAAAGGAACAACACGGAATTGCCCAGCCAAGATTGCAGTGTTTGGGAATGCTGAGCTCAGGGCTGAGGCAAATCTGTGCCTGGAGTGCAAACYGCAACAGCTTCAGCCACGGCACAGCCCAGCACACCTCGAGCAGGTTCAAAATATCCTTTCTCACACAAAAAGCTGCTTTTTTTTTCTTTTTTTTTTTCAACTCCTGTTGCTTTGTGTAGGAYAGGCCACGGTTTAAAAGCTGAGCACACTTAGGCCAGGTTTAAGGTTGGTTTTCAGCAGCAGCACAGAGCCCTGAACCACCAACAGCTTTGGTGACACTTCTGAGCTCAGATGGAGCTGCTGCTTCTGTCTGGCATTTCCAGAATTCAAACTAAAAAAGAAAGGTGAAGGAGAAAATTTACTCTGCCAACTTCAATAAAAAAACTGTAATTAAGGGATTAAATTTTATCCTGCTCCTTTGAGGTAGCACCCCCTGAAAGCACAGGGACTTCTCCCCCTTTGCTGGTGGAAAAGTCCCCAGTGTCACCTCCCCTKTTCTCAGCTCACACAAACCTTTCAGAATCTGGTGAAAAAACTGCATTTTCCACGAAGGAACATCCTGCAAGCCTTTCCTGTTTTCCAACCCCTGGGTTCAAAGTGAAGATTTGCAATTTCTGCTCAGCCATTCCCTCGAAATGCCCAGTTCAAGCCCCAGCCCTGGTGGTGGATATTGCACATTTTCTAAGAGCTGCCCTCATCATCCTCCTGAAAATCCAGCCTTGCTCTGGGAGAAGGGATATTTTCCAAACTGCTCTCAGTGTGGGAACACAAAGTGTCACCTGCTGCTGGTTTGAGCTGGAAGGGCGACAAGGAAAACACCAACACATGGAAAAGGAAACCAAACCAGCATCTGACGGAGCAGGGCCACGGGGAGCTGGCTYAGTGCTTTGCATCCCGAGGGTAGAACTCAGCCAGGGTGCTCTGGGGGATTCTCTTGAGCATTTCCTTGGGGAAGATCCTGAGCAGCTGCCAGCCGATGTCCAGGGTTTCGTACACCGTGCGGTTCTCGTAGGGCCCTGTGGGGACAGAGAGGGGACAGGGAATGTCACAGGGAGCTGTGGGAATGAGCCCCACCCCGCTGGGAGGTGTTTGGATGCTTACCCTGAGCGATGAAATTCTTCTCGAATTTCTGCAGGAACTCCAGGTACAGGAGATCGTCCGAGGTCAGAGCTTCCTCCCCCACCACGGCCTTCATGGCCTGCACGTCCTTGCCGATGGCGTAGCAGGCGTACTGGGATGGGGACAGAGCTCTGAGCCTCCTCTGCCACCCAGGAACAGCTCCCTGGGTTTAAAAATCACCCAACCCCACCCTGACACAGCCACGGACAGCTCCTGCTGGCCCAGGTTATCCAAACCCAGCCTTGAGCACTGCCCACAGCTCCTCTGGCAATTCCAGCCCAGCCCT